AATATTTATTTTAAACTTAATAAGAATTTCTTGAATACTACTAAGTAAAATAATCAAAACATTACAGCCATAAAACAAGACAATGGCCGCTGAATGCGGCAACGATGCGGGTTGCGTCTTTTCTCAAGTCTTTCACTGCATAAAAGCTCACACAAAAGCCCCTCTCTTTCGTTTTGTTAAACGTCTTGTCGGAAATGTTTTTGAATGGGGTTAATTACTACGTCCCTTGTGTCCGGAAACCGCACCAGAGGATTTCCGCAACACTTTTCCTCAAAGTTCTAACAACAATTAGTCTCTGGACAAAACAAGAAGTCCTCTCATTAAGCAAATGTTCGACAGAGGTGTGCGTATCGTTGCAACATGTACTATAATAGATGACAAGTTTAAAGACTGAAAAAATCTGTAGGATCTCTCTGAAAGAAACAAAAACTAAGTTGTTTAAAAATTAGCAAAAAATGCTAATTTTAGGAGATGTAGGTGTGAATCAAATTCTCACTGTACATGGAAGGTTCCCTGCTTACTTAAAAAGGTTCCACTTAAAGGAAAATGATATATGTAAAGTTTGTAATAAATTCGGCGATTCAACATCGAGGACTATTGCCGGACTGGAAGTGTGAGAGGAAAATATAAATTTGCAAGAGATATTATGCAAACTGTGAATGAGAATAAGAAGAATATTGGTATCGAGATATAACTAAGCAGAAAATCATATTGAAAACAGAAGTAATTGAAGTAAACTTATAAATTTAAGATGAATTTTGATAATACAGTGGTACCTCGCGATACGATCTTAATCCGTTCCTGACCGAATCGTATCGTAAAAAAATCGTATAATGAACAATGTAATCTTATTAATTTAATTATTCGTGCAACGCCCCATATAAAACCAAACCAAAATCGTCTATACGTATAATAATTATCACAAAATAGTATATAAGTACCACGAACACAAAAATTTATACCACATTTAAATTAAAAATAACTTATAAATAAAAAAAATAAAAAGAAAATTACTTTCATTTACCGTAAAGTACTGTACAGTCAGCGAGGGATAGTTTTTTTTATTACGACACTGATAAATTGCGCACAGCGTTTATAAAACTTAGACAAGTAATGAAACTAAAATTAAATAAATTCTTTTAAATTAAATTCTTATGTAAATTACAGACACAGTAATGAAACTTAAATCATTTTTTTTTGATAATTTTCATCTTTTGTAATTTTTTTTTGCTTTTTTTTTTTTTTTAACTAATGAACTTAAATTTGAGGTGATATCATCTCTCGTCTTCCTTTCCTTTCTAGTTTTCTACTAGAGAAACACTCGCTTCTTCAGTTTCTGGGGCACTTCTCTCGAGAAATATCTGTTTCTGACGACTCCTCAAAATGTTTCGAAAATGACTCTCATACAAATGTCATTCACATTGTCCATTGCACGAGCTGTACGCATTTTTTCTGGGTGCTTTTTTTCAATAAAACTGTTTAAGTTTTCAAACCAACCGATGGCTTCCCGTATTTCCGTAGATGTCAGTGCCACCTCCACCTCCTCCTCAACACTCGAATGATGTTCCTCTTGAAGATCGCTGATTTGCATCGCCTCCAATGCCTTCAAGTCGTCAGTGTTGAGCTCCTCCTTGTGCTCGTCGAGTAGGTTGTCAATGTCAGCCTCATCGACAACAAGCCCCAAAGACTGACAGAGAAATAATCTCCTCCAATGGAGCAGGATCATCCACAGCTTCTTCTTCAGTAGGGATTTCGAAACCCTCAAAGTCTCGTTCTGCAACCACAGCTGCCCAGAGTTTCCTCCATGCTGAGTTCAAGGTGCGCCTTGAGACCTCACCCCATGCCTTTTCTATGATTTTTAAGCAATGGACAATGTCGTAGTGACTATTCCAAAACTCACGGAGTGTGAGTTGCGTGCTCTCTGTCACTTCGAATCATCTTTTGAAAAGGTGCTTCGTGTAAAGCTTCTTAAAATTAGCAATGACTTGCTGGTCCATAGGCTGGAGGATGGAAGTGGTGTTCGGTGGCAGATAGAGCACTTTGATGAAGTCGAAGTCGGGATGTATCTGTTCTTCAAGGCCAGGAGGATGAGCAGGGGCATTATCGAGCACAAGGAGGCATTTTAGAGGAAGATCATTCTCCTCTAAATATTTTTTCACTGCAGGTTCGAAGCAGCAATTAACCCACTCAACAAATAAAAGCCTCGTGACCCAGGCTTTGGCGTTGGACCTCCAAAAGACGGCGAGCTTATCCTTCGACACATTATGTGCCTTGAAGGCACGAGGATTTTCTGAGTGGTATACCAGTAGGGATTTTATTTTTTAATCCCCACTGGCATTCGCACATAGGGCAAGAGTACGCCTATCCTTCATGGGTTTGTGTCCAGTTTCTTTTCTTCTTCTGTGATGTATGTACGACGGGTCATTTTCTTCCAGAAAGCCCCGTTTCATCACAGTTGAAGACTTGTTGAGGGATGTAGCCTTCATCGAGGATTAACTTTTTGAAGGCCTCGATAAATTCTTGCGCTGCTTTTTCATCGGCGCTGGCAGCTTCCCCATGCCTGACCACGTTATGTATCCCCGATTTCTTCTTGAATCGTTCAAACCACCCATGAGATGCTTTGAACGTTGGGGCCTCTTGTGTTGATGTCCCTTCGCCTTCTCGTCTCTCTGGGCTTTTGCGAGGTCTTCAAAGATCGCAGTGGCTTTATGGCATATAGCAGCTTGTGTTATCGTATCATCCCAGCAATTTCCTTCTCTTTTATCCAAATAAGAAGAGTCTCCATCTCGTCATTAAGGGCAGTTCTATTGTATGAGAAGGTGGTAACGCCCTTTGCTGGCTTTAATGGCTTCTTTATTCTTTATAATGGTACTAATCGTCGATTGGTTTCGTCCATATGCATTAGCAATAGCCATGATGCGCATGCCACTTTCGTATTTTTTTATAATTTCCAACTTCACTTCCATGGTTATCGATGACTTTCTTTTCCCCTTATCACCACCAGCACTAGAAGCACATTTAGGACCCATGGCGAATAAAGTTTATCACAAAATAATATTACGATCACACAATCACAAGAATATCTTATGAACTGTACGAACGCCACGCGGTCTCGAGAAGGAGAGAACGATATCACATCGACACTTTGTGTGGACTCGGTATCCTACGATGCCGTGATGCCGACCAATAGGAGAACAGGATTTATAGAGAAAGGAAGATGACGTCACGTCGACCAATACCAGAACAGCTTGAATAGTGACGTACTGAGGCTTGCTGAGGCTTGCTTAGTGACGCGTGAGGTTTGCCCGTAGCGCGCCAACTTCAAAACAATTTCAAGCGGCAAGAGATATTGGGATCGCATCGCGAAAACGTAGCGTTTCGCGAGCACGAATATTTGCGATATTCCACTTCGTATCTTGAACACATCGTATCGTGAACCCATCGTATCGCGAGGTACTACTGTATAAAGAAGATTTGAATAATAATAACTAACTGAAAGTAAAACTTATAAAGATTTAAAACTTTAAAAAAAAAAACATAGAAATGAAAACGATACCTCTATATAATAATTTCACCGAGACTGTTTGGAATAGTAATGTATCTGCTTTACGTGTTTGTTTGTTTTTTCCTTTCTTTCTCTCTCTCTCTCTTTTTCTTTTTTTTTTTTTAGTTTTTATGTTCGTTTTGTGCGACTGTATGATCTGAACTTGTTACCAGATGTTTACTAAGGTCATTTTCCGTTATGTAACCAGTTATTTTGTTATGTTTTGTGGATTGGCCTATCACCTCATAGCCATATGGCAGACTTCGCCTGCTAGGTGGACTGATAGCCAGTGTTAGAACTAACCAACTAATCTTATAGATTCATTACTATACATGTAACTTCGTATTAACTCTAAAATAGTAAGAATTAAAATAGTATCAACTATAAAATAGTAATAAAATAATAAAAATTTCAGTCTCAAAACTAGTTAATTGCATGGAAATATCAGTAATAAATGCAAAAGAAGAATTAAGAAAATCATCCCCTTCAAATACACATGTACATTCAATCTGCATAAGTCATGATGGCAAGAAGCAACGGAAGGGCTGCAATTAATACGGAACGTAGCTGCTATTAATGTATTTTAGTAGCGTTAATGTTTTTTAGAAGAATTAATGTATTTATTATTAACATAAGCACACAATAATCATATGAGGTACATTTAGTAGGAACTGCTTATGAGCGGCACAAAACAAATAACAGAATTCAAAGTAAAACAGATGTACTTACTTGCAACTGATTCAACAATTGAATCACTGACAATAGTTGTGATAGTAGCAGCAGATGTTTTCTTTTCATGAGATGTTTCTCCACCTATAATTTCAGCCTTCTCGCTGTTTACGTCATCAGCTGTTTCCAATAGAATGTCAGTTGTGAAGTCATCTGAATTCATCGTTGGGGCAAGAGGTGTCGTCAGCATTCCCATTTTAAATAAGAAAGGGAGTCGTTTCTTCGGTGATACTCGACCAACCAGGTCAGATGGAAACAAACCAATAGTTCCGAATTCTTCATTTTCATATTCATAATCAGTGCCTTCGGATGAGGAAGCAGATGGTGAACTACTGCGTGTCACTAGAAGGAACTCTGGCAACATAGCACCTATGCAATAATCAATACTTAAAATATGAAAATGGGCATCGACTGCATTGCTTAATAGCAACAAGTGAAAATAATTCCAACTTATTCTTAAAATTTTTCTCAAACAAACTGCAGTCGAAATTGTATCTTAAGTCTCGTATATTACCCACTAGATTAGTAAACAATTCTCTTTACACTGATTCCACCATATCTTTTATGATCAAGTGCTCAAAATATATATTTCCCGATTTAAACTTAAATGTGTCATACTTTAATTTGAATGGGCTAATAAGCAGCCTACTAAAAGAAGTTTTTCAATGTTGCCATAATATTTGTTTCAGGCTTCATGGAGCAACTTGAAGCAGCTTACGATACAGAGATCACAATTTACATGCGATTAGAATCATGCAAATTTTCTGTTTCTTTTCGTTCCCTAACGTTCATACTGAGCACGAGGTTCTTATAACTTTATCCGAAGTGCTGTGCCTGTATGTTTCTAAAGATCCGCATTAGCCTGTATAAGTAGGCAGCGTTAGCAGAAATATTCTATTATCAAAGTTCAATTAATATTTTCCAGAGCGAGTGAGTATCTACATTCGTGTGCAAACTTATGCAACTTTTCTGATTAGAGCCGCAGTAAAAAAAAAAAAAAAAAAAAAAAAAAAAAAAACATATAGACATAAATATGTATACAGACATAAATATACATAAAGATATGTAAGACATAAAGTTCATACTACAGAGGCACAATGTAATATATAAAAGATGAGGAAAGTATAGTATAAAAAAATTAATAGGACGCATTCAGTACGGAACAAATAAAAAAAAGGCCTTTTTTTTTGACAGAATGACGTTGGTACAAAAAATTGCCTTGCGAAGAGAGAAAAGTACAAACAAAGAATCTCCTCTACTGCAGCGGTAGCTCTAAGTAAACTCTCTTTAACTGCAATGGTTAGGTTGCACCGTCTATCGTAACTCAATACGAGGTTATCTAACAGTTCGTGAGGTAAGAGTTCTCACTCCTCAAGGAGCAACTGCTTCGGTTGTCAGGTGTTCTCTGGAGGTAGATCGTGGCGCCAGGCGTCTTCCTAAAGTATCCCACACCAATACAATAGGATTTAAATCAGAGGAGCATGCTGGCCAATTCATCCTGCTCAATTATGCTGGCCAACCCATCTTCTCTTTCCGATAGCTTCTCAACATCACGAGTCTTATTGTAACGAAAATATCAAAAATATCAGAACTACGCCGAGACTCCCCATCAACGGCTGTTCTGCACAGGCTCTTAATATACGTATATAAACCTTAATAATAATTAGACACAGTGAGTCTACTATTAGAAAATCTGTTTACACTTTCAATATTTATAGAAAAAGAAATAAATCTTATCTACTTGGATTCTGCACATGCTTCTTGACGAATAACAATTTTATTAACACTTGACATTAGAAGCTTCACAGTTTCCTTGAATTAAAGCAAGAATTCTCTACTAGGATATTATTTAATAAACAGAACAAAAAATACAATACATAATTCAATTCAATTCATATCAACATTAAAATTCATAGTACCCTTATATCACTAAGCAAACACGGATCAGAACTTGGATGGCAACGCCGAAAACTGATGCCATCCACAAAAAATATATAAATCCACAAATAAGAATATATAAAAATCTTGTGATTAAAACATTAATACATTAAAAGTCTCGTATTCATTCAACAAAGTTATTCATAGAACAAAGTCTCGTGGATATTTCCCGAAGTTTATTAATGGCATTACGTAACACTTATGTGAGTGAGCAATGGAATTCATAATAACAAAGTCGGGACCAATTGTACCCCGAAAAAGACGCTCCAGGGGAAGGTTAACTTCATCACAGTAACGAACTCCGATAAGTGAAGCTCTGTCGAAAATGCGGACTCTGTCCATGCGTTCATCCTAATTCCTCCCCATACAAGCAAGCCAAGACCATCTCAACGGACAAAGCGCCTGGCCCCAGCCACCACCCCAAGCTCTTATTGGACACGACTTCTGATGTCATACAGTGACGAAAAGAATTCTCTGCAGCATTTTTGTGCGCCAAAAGCTTGAGCTCGAGATCGTTTTAGCGCTGAAACAGGCGAAGCAATGGAATAATTTGCCATATTTGCGAAAAAATTACAAAAATAAAAAGCAGCTTCAGAAATATATTGTTAATATACATAATATTAGAAAAAAGGTGCAATTCGATGTGCAGTCGATAACCGTTTAGCAGTATTTTGGTCATTAGACGAATATCGAAGTCATTTGACAATAAACACTTTTATAAGATATAAAAGTTAAGAAACAAAACAATAATACATAAAAAAACAGAATGATAACTCCAATTGATAAAGTCAAATAAACGATATTATAAGTATTTTTCGATTTAAAAGTATCTTATCACTTTATCTTATTTTTAACCATAAATGAGGAGAAATTAATGCCTAGGATTAGAAAGTAAAAAATTAATCTGACTAACGAACAATTTTGATACCAAACAATCTCTATATAACAAGCAATAAATGAAAGGAAGGTTATTTAATTATCAAACAGTTCATTTTTATAAAGAAAGGACTAAATTTTACATTTATATCACTTTTAAAAACACTTTTCTGTAAAATAAACCGCTAATTCATGAAAACTGCGGCAGACATTATTTACACAGTAAGAGTTAAGTGCTATTTCTTGACATTGCTGACGAAGCAAATCTTGTTAATGGTCTCCTTTTATATGAAATTATAAAATACATTTCTTAAATATCAGTATAGCGCTATGAATTGCATTGAATACAGATCGCTTAGCCAAACACTATTTACGCATTATAAAGTTTTATCTATTCCATTAACATGATTAAGCAATTTATATAAAAAGTGCCGATATATTTTCTTATACTGTTAGGTTCGTTTTAATTGCAAATATTCTGTTACATTGCACAAATTCACATTAACACAGGAAAGAACCAAATCCAAAGTAGTTATAAGTTCCCCTTGACATAACTCAAACGAAACAGATAATGGAATCTTTTCAGCCTGACGTCATAAACGGCAACCAATAAGAACAGGGGTGATGGCTGGGGCCAGGCGCTTGTATCTCAACGGCCTGTTTCTCAAATTTTAGTGAAGCGAAAGCGTGTCCCCTGGTGTCAATGGACTGCGGCCTTCAGCACGGCGGGCGAATAGGCATCATTATGAAGTCGTCTAGCCACAGTAAACTGGGATACCTGCCGTCTGGTTGAGCAGCTGGTCCACTTGTATCAGCCGCTCTTTCGATGGACTAAAATAAAAACGAATTTTTGAGGACGGCATTGGGACAACCAATGTTGCCTGCGGTGTGTTTTCGATCTTTTTTCGCCTGCAGAGCCATATACCGGTCTTCAGACAATGTCGCTTTCCTTGGCCGATCACTGTCAACCTTACATGCAACTGTACCTATTGTTAGGAAAGCTTTCAAAGGTCGTGAAACAACACGTTTACCAATTCCAAACTCTCGGACGACAGACATCAACCTACGATCCTCCTTAAACTTGCCAATCGTTCTACCACGTATAAAAGCATCTTAATGTTTCCTCGTAAGCATTCTGCACGGGCAGTCTCACTTTCACTTGCAGAAGAATGCCTGGAAATGCAACTTCTGTTCTTCTTTTTAAGTTGCCTTGCACTGACCGAGCTGACTCCTCGCGTATTGTATGCCTTGACGTACCTTCTGTTGTCATGCTTTTGGCATTTGCATATGCATCACCTTTCCACTGAGTTGGATTTTCATTGCACTGATCGCAAAAAAAAATTTCATGGCTGCATGGTGAGAAATGAATTGGTTGCTTACATTTTGCCCATTAGTGTATTCATTTGCCAAGTTAACGAGTACAGTGAAATATATATTAAGCTCAATATAACTGGCTTCATTAAAGGTTTATTTTTAACACATATTTGATTAAACAGCTTATCAATCTTGAAGAGAAATACCAAAATGGAAAACTTTTGACGCAGTGTGGAAATTTATTTCTTATGAAAAGAATTTTACACTCATTCACTGAAACTTTAAACTACAAAATACGTAAAGTTCTAGAAAGTGTCATTAACAATTTACCTAGCACTAGTCTATACTTGACAAAGTGTATGAAAATACTGGAATATAATATTTAGGCTTACCGTTTTCGCTACTGCAATCAATTTCACCTTCTCCGTAACAGATTAATTCAAAGTCACACACAAGACTTTCATCAGTGAATGAGCACTTCTCTGAAAGAAAGAGCATTACATTTTATTACATTTAGTAAATCTGGTACTATTGCTGCTATAAGTTCAGTATATTAACAATTCTTTAATAATTGTAGAAGCAAGGTTGTAATACTATGGAGTGAAAAAGGCATTTTTTTTAACATGAGTATTAACTACTATTGAATAATGTAAACATGCTTTGATGTATGTTTTCATAGTTTTTATGGACAAGCCATTAAGAAATTTGTCATTAAATTCAAATCATATCATTTTTCACAACAGTGAGAATTATTAAGATTAAGTTATTAAGATATTATCTTTGTGACAAATTTTAAACACCCTAATATTAAGAAAACACTTGATTATTCAGTTTGTGAATCAAATTTTAATGAAGCCTTTCACAATATTAGTATGCCACAATTTAGTTAATGATTTTAATTTTAATCCCAGCCTTTCAGATATATTTGTACTCTAGTGTAAATCTTATTGTATAATTTATGTATTCCTTGTGCATTCTATTTTTTTAATACATGAACCCATTTTTTTATTATTTATTTTTAATTTTTATTTTCTTTACTATTCTGTTGCATTTAAAGTGAAATTTCATGTAAATTACGTATGAGGGCTGTCACGATTTTGTTAAGGAGCATGTGAAACTATCTCCTGTTTGGTCAAAATGGGTACCACGTTACCTGAGTGAAGAAGACAAACTTCATCGCATTCAACATTGTATCAATGTCTGGAAAAACGTCGGAGTTCTTTAAAAGAATAACCAGTACTGACCGGTCCAGGATCAGACATTATGATTCCGAATTTAATCCCAAAGTACTGAAACAGAGCGGATAACTGCCAAAGATCACAGCTTTCATAAGCCAGAGGTACAACAGCTATTAGAAGCTTTACAGAAAATTAATGGGCAGTTTTAAGACCATTTTTCCTACAGCCCAGATTTCAAAAAAAGGTAAGAGAATGCAAGTTAAACAAGGAGAAGTTAAACAAGAAGTGAAAGCTGCCAGATCTTACACCAACTCTTCGAAAATGATATGGAACTTGCATCTGAAATGCTGAGCATCTTTGAAAATACTATAGATTGCGAAAGCCGCTTTATAAAAAAGAAAGTCATCAGAAAACTTCTTGAGGATTCGAAATTCAAACAGCAATTTCAGTCCATGAACATTCGTAACAGTCCTCCTAAAATATTTTGTACTTCTGGGAGCCTGTTTTTATATTTACCTGAAATTCAGAGAGAATTCCTTTAATTACTGCAACTCTAAGGATGAATTTTACCCAAAGCTGGGTCGTTTCTCTTACTTGGCAAAAGAGCAACTATATATAATGATAAGCAACTAAGTATAACGATGATTTGGCAAGTAAAAATTTAATAAATTTATTTGTATGAACTATTTTAGAATCAGATGGTTATAAATATTTTTAAACTTAATAGTTCAGGGCGTATAAAATCGGACACAAAAATACAAAAACTTTCATAAGCCGTCATGAAGATCCAGTGATTTCCGGCCAGCCTTTCGCAAAACGCCAGTGACGGATTTGTTTACATCTAGGTCAGAATCGGAAATGTCCTTTGACCGTTATTCCACTAGAGCTTTCGTTTTCCATCCCCTCATAAAAACGATGGAGGTAAGAATGAAAGGAGGCGCCAACCCCAATTCCCTTATAACTAAGTAGTACGAACGTGAAAATTTGTATATTTCTTTCGATACGTTTGATAGATTATACCCTATTTTTATTATATGTTCCAAATATCAAAATGTTTTAAATAAAGCACACTTTTGTTATCCACATGATATTGTAACATGTAGTTTTTTAAAGTTCTTAGGGAAGGTGCTTAAAGAAATGCATTTTAAAAACTCATAATTTTATTTTTATATAACTGAAAAATAATCACTTTGGGTTTACATATCTTAACAGAAAAATGTAATTATCAAGAAATCCTATAATTTTCGTCAAAATTAATGAATGTATACACAGATATACTAATAATTTAACTTTTACTTCATTTGCAACCACACATTTATGTAAAATTGTATACAGAAACATTTGCCAATTCGGCGGAAGTACCATGTGCGGTTAAGATGATGCGACCATGTGAACGTAACATATCATCAAGACAGCATTAAAGCATGTAATTTTCACCCTATTTATATATATTTCTTAGGTAAAAAATTCTGATATATGCTAAATTATTGTAAATCACTTTACTCGGAAAATATAGTGAATGCACAGAAATTAAAGATTTGCACACCTTGAAAACAAAAAAATTATAAATATAAGTATAGGTATATATATATAGGTATTTATGTCATGTATTTGCCATTAATAAAATACGTATTTATTAAATTATTTACAAATGTATTTGGAAGTGAAGTACCTTAACATTTAATTGTAAAGATAAGTTGAAATTTCGTTGACAAATGTGGTTATAAAACTATTGAAGTAAGAATTGTTCGCACTGTAACGAAATCAGTTAAAAGGTTTTGTAAAGCAAATTCTAGGAAATGAGCTCTTAACGAAGCAATAAATAAGAATTTTTAGAATACGTTTTGTTTAATTAAGTGTAAAAAAATTGGTAAGTATTATAAACATTTTGTCCTTACATTTTATAATAACTCAGTTACAAGTTTTAAATAATACTAGCGGGCAAGCCCGCCAGCTGAGCGGGCTGAAGCCCGCTATATATTGCTCGTGTGTAAAAGAGTTCCCGTGTTAAATTTTCCCGGTATACGAAAGTTGGACCGAAATACCAGTGTTCACCGGTTTTACCCGGGCTGCGCTCGCTTAATTCACGTATGTATCGAGAAGATACTGCATACACGTTACACATGCATAAAATCACGAAAACAACTTGCACCCAGCCCGCTTGCCGAAAGTTGGAACCGAACTACCAGTGTCTAGCGGTTTTGGGCGGGCTGCGCCCGCTTTATTAAATTATGCATCCAGAATATACTGCATACACGACACACATGCGGAAACTCACGAAAACCCATATAGCCAGCCCGTTGGCCTTTATCCAAGTTCGTCCGAACTACCAGTGTTCAGCGATTTTACCCGGGCTGCGCCCGCTTTATTCGCGTATGCATCCAAAAGATACTGCATACATTGCGGAAAATCATGAAAACATACATGGAGGCAGCCCGTTCGCCGGGATTCGAAAGTTGGATCGAACTACCAGTGATCAGCAAATTTGCGCGGGCTTCGCCCGCTCTATTCTCGTATCCATCCAGAAGATACTGCATACACGATACACATGCGTAAAATCACGAAAATACCCATACAGACAGATCTTTAATGGGTATTCGAAAGTTGGACCGAACTACCAGTGTTCAGGGAGTTTGCGATGGCTGCGCCCGCTTTACTCACATCAGAAGATACTGCGTACACGATACACATGTGTAAAATCAGGAAAATACCCATACAGACAGCTCTTTAACAGGTATTCGAAAGTTGGACAGAACTACCAGCGTTCAGCGGGTTTGCGCGGGCTGCGCCCGCTTTATTCACATATGCATCCAGAAAATACTGCGTACACGATACACATGCGTTAAATCACGAAAGTACACATGCAGCCAGCCCTCTCGCTGGAATTCGAAGGATGAACCTAACTACCAGTGTTCAGCGCGGACTGCGCCCGCTTTATTCGCATATAAGTCCAGAAAATACTGCATACACGATAAACATACCTAAAATCACGAAAATACCCATGCAGCCAGCCCGATCGATCGCCTTTATTCGAAAGCTGGACCGAACTACCAGTGTTTAGCGGTTGCGCGGGCTGCGCCCGCTTTATTTACGTATGCATTCACAATATACTGCATACACGTTACACATACTCAAAATTACGAAAACACTTATGGAGCCAACCCGTTTGCCGAGATTCGAAATTTGGACTGAAGTACCAGTGTTCAGCGATTTTACTGCTCAGGCTTTTTGCCAAGTGTAACCGCAAAACTTTTCGGGTTTAATATTCAAACAGTAGATTCGTTATTAAAACTCCTTTTGATAAACTTCAACATAATCACACACAAAAGTGCATCAATATATATATTAATGTAATTAATCAACCATAATTATTTATATTAAGAAAACTTTCCATATACCATGTTCAAGCAACAGAAATTCAATTTAAAACCCTGAACGAAAAATAAAATTTAGTCAGAATTTAAATAAATAGTTTATTCATATTTTATTTATTTTTTTGCAATTAAAATTTCTTAATTAAAATTAAATTTAATATTAGCTTTAAGCGAACAGAAACCTTTGTTACCAAAAATACGACAGTATATATATATATTAATGAACTTATATATAATAACAAAAGCAGTGAATGATTACGTAGCTCAGTAACACAAATGAGCACGCGGATTTAAGCTATTAGAAATATTAATTTGTATTATTCAAAGTTGCTTTTCTTATTCAGATCCAAAAATCACGAATTGTTCGAAAAATGCACAAAAAATACGTATCTCGGCAACTAACAGTCCGATCGGCTCGAAATTTACAATCTTATAATTGCCAGATTTTGAAAAGAGGTTTGGTCTTTGTTCCAAACAGATTGGCAAATTAGAAGATTAATTAGCATAATGAATAAAAATCCTCCACTGCGTTAATTTCATCCATGGCGAATGGCCTTGACGATTCCAACAGTCCTGCGGAAACCATCTCCACTTCCCCGACACCCGTCGCTTTCGAGTCGAAGGCCCTCAACCAAGAGTTAGGTAGTAGTGCTTTTTTAATGAACCTTCTAATTAGGCTCCTAATTAGCAAAACAGTTTACAATCAACTCCGGAACCAATCATGCGATCGGCTCCAAATTTAGAAATTTACAACCGATGGATGGTCAGATGAAGGATGCTCTTTGTTCTAGATGGATTGGCAAATTAGATGATTAATTAGCATAATGAATAAAAAAGCGCCACTACGCTAATTTCATCCCCGGCGAATGGCCTTGACGATTCCAACAGTCGAGCGGATACCATCTCCCCCCCGACACCCGTCGCTTTCCG